GAAGAATGGTGGAACAGGCTAACAGGTGTGCAGGTGTGCGTCATATGCGAGGCCCCGCCTTAAATGGAGCACGATTTCCGTGCGCAAAGCATTGTGGGGATTTTAAGACCGCGGAGGATACACACAGGGCCGCCCCTCCCTACAGGCCAATCACGCAGGCTGCATGGGGCCCCGCCTTGTGCAGGGGGCCCCGCCCAGAGGGCCTCAGCTGCTGCGCGCAGTTCTCCGCTCAGTTCTCCGCGCACCCCCCGCGAGAGTGAGAGTGAGAGNAGCATTGTGGGGATTTTAAGACCGCGGAGGATACACACAGGGCCGCTCCTCCCTACAGGCCAATCACGCAGGCTGCATGGGGCCCCGCCCAGAGGGCCTCAGCTGCAGGGCGCAGTTCTCCGCTCAGTTCTCCGCGCACCCCCCGCGAGAGTGAGAGTGAGAGGTGACTAGGGGAGCACGTCTGTAACCCGACACCGTTGCAATGAATCGACATCTGACCAATCACGGCTTTGATACGGCCACTAGTGCAGGTGAAGAGATGTCGGTGAAAAGACAGTTTCAGTCCGTCGCAAAAAAGAAATTCTTTTTTGCGACGGACTGAAACTGTCTTTTCACCGACATCTCTTCACCTGCACTAGTGGCCGTATCAAAGCCGTGATTGGTCAGATGTCGATTCATTNGCAAACCCACGTTGTTTTTGCTGATTGTACATTTTGTCTCTTTGGCAAAGTTTAACATTAATTGGACTGAATTATCTTGTGAATTAATGTTGGCCAGCATAATGAATCGGTTTTTAAAGTGTGCACACACATAGTAATGGTTTAATTTGAGTTTATTACGATTTTTCACAATAGTACATGTATATCATAGTTACAGCAGTTCCATAAAGGAAACTTGTAGAGCAGGGGTGTCAAACTCAAATACACAGTTGGCCAAAATAAAAAAATCTGTACTAGTCGAGGGCCGGACTGGTTCAATGTTTATTGCAAAACTTATTGAAATGAACTTATTGCACATATTAAACCTGGAACTAACAAAGCTTAAATTATTGCCTATAAAAACAACATTAAATAATCAGTTGCATTCATTTCTTATGGCTCTATCTGCAGTCATTTCTTATGATTACATTTTTCCACAGGACAACAACTTAAAACAATTTCCCTCAAAGAAAAAACCAAACATGCCCTGTTGTCGCAAGAAAGAAAGTGAACATCCATGTAAACTCCGTGTGCTGCTCTGTGATGCTAGTTCAAGCCAGATACTTGGCGTCTCATCTTGGGTGCAAGTTCATCAATGTTTGGGCTCAGGCTCCTTCAGTGATTGACTTTGAAAGAGTCTTCACTCTGAAGCAGGAAGCAGGTGATCAGCGCTCGTCCCTGGACAGAGGCAGTTCTGCCACCGGCCACACAGTGTCACTCTGCCAGTGGAAGACACTTGTTCTTAACTAGTTGAATAGGTTATAGAACACTAAGCTTAAATTGTTATAATTCATCCCAGAAAAACTAGACAAAATAGATTATTTTTCATATTTTATTGTGACAATCATGTTAAAAACACTATTGCATATATCTCGTGTCGCCTCAGTAAGGATCATTGAAGGGGAAATGAGGATGTTCTGCATCTCTCCACACTCTCTTGCCATCCCTCTGTAAAAAAGTTGTTGGTTAATTCAGCTCAAAGCTATATATGTTTACAAAATAATAAACTATAGCAGCCAAGGAGTCAGAACAAGAATACTGAAGTTTAGCTTTGCAAGCAAGAGTCTCCCCTGAGTATATCTGAGATGCATGACGATCTAAAACAGGTAGGTGTGTCACCCAAGCCGAGTCATCTGTGAGTCCAAGCTTTAAGTTAATTTTGGACTGAGATGGCTGTTGCAAGTTTATCAAGTCAAAGGTTAAAGTGGGCTCTGCTTGGAGAAACCTTCCTGTTAAAATGTAGTGAAGTATCATCTCAGTGACTCACCTCCACTACTGGGACGATGAGGCGCTGGTTGCAGTTGAAGGACTCGAGCAGCTTCATGTCGTCTTCAGACAGAGAAAAGTCGAGCACCTGCAGGTTCTGCTGGATCCTGGAGGGCGTCACACTCTTAGGGATGCACACCACGCCTCTCTGAACATGCCACCTGTCAGGAGGACACCACAGATTTAAAGGTCACCTATTATACTGTTTTTCATCAATATATTATAGGTCTCAGATATATACAAAACATGTCTCTGAAGAGTTTGGCTCGAAATACCAAACAGATCATTGTAGCATCCCATAATCCCCTCTGTTTCAGCCCCGTTACAAAAGTGCTGATTCTCTGGGTGTTTGTCAATGTCAAGGAAGGATGCTCCAGAGCCACTATTTCAAGGATGCTACGTCATCGAGTCCCGCCGAAGGACTGTTCCAATGTCAAGGCTCTTTGGAATTCTACCGAGCCCGGCGTCCTTCGTAGCGAGAAATGTCGAGGCTGCACATGTGTATCCTCCACGGTCTTAAAATCCCCACAATGCTTTGTGCACGGACCAATTTCCATTTAAGACGTGGCCTCTCATATGACGCACGCCTGCACACCTAGCCTGTTTCACCATTCTTCATTTTCCGAGGCTAGGAAGGATTCTTGCCTCNCAGGGCCGCCCCTCCCTACAGGCCAATCACGCAGGCTGCATGGGGCCCCGCCTTGTGCAGGGGGCCCCGCCCAGAGGGCCTCAGCTGCTGTGCGCAGTTCTCCGCTCAGTTCTCCGCGCACCCCCCGCGAGAGTGAGAGTGAGAGGTGACTAGGGGAGCACGTCTGTAACCCGACACCGTTGCAATGAATCGACATCTGACCAATCACGGCTTTGATACGGCCACTAGTGCAGGTGAAGAGATGTCGGTGAAAAGACAGTTTCAGTCCGTCGCAAAAAAGAAAACATGAAGAAACTAGAGCATCACTCGAAGGTGGGTTATTGTATGAGTCAAATTTACAACTTGCGAATGTTGTATAAGTCAAATTGCCAATTGCCATATTAAAACATCAGCTGCAATTCACGACATGAAGAAGGTAGTCTCTGCATATAGGCCAATGGAGATGCAGTTATTTCCATTATTCTTTATTTACCATTCATTCAAGTATGTTATGCCTTGTATCTCCTAATGTACAGGAGGAAGAGTGATAAACTATCTGTGTAGTTGGCTTACATAACAGTTAAAGTTTACAGCCTAAAAAGCATGGAGCATTTTTCCCTCTTTTATTCATTGTTATTCATTTTTATGTCAATTTGCACATTTCATGGTGATGCTCAGCCTCGCCCCTTAACTCCTAACAGTCATCATCATGTCAACCACAACACAGAGAAATACTGATAGAAATGTGTGTGTAGTTGTTGATACATTGCTGACAGAGGGAACTACATTTGAATACAGATTTAAGAAATATCAGTTTTTGAGCATGTCATAAGCATGTTTTGTCTATATATTACAACTATATTATAATAAAACAATATAGTATTTGTATTAATGAATTTATTATGATTATTAGTAGAAGTAGTTTATTTGCATTAATTATATTTAAATCTTTACTTTTACCTAAGTACAAGATATGAGTACTTCTTCCCCCACTACCGATACGACCTATGATTGTGTGCTGCANAACTTGGAGTTTCAGGCTCTGCACTTTCCCTCCTCACCTCATACCTCAAAGACCGCACCTACAGGGTAACTTGGAGAGGGTCTGAATCCGACCCTTGTCAATTAACTACAGGGGTCCCTCAGGGCTCTGTCCTTGGTCCCCTCCTCTTCTCTCTGTACACAAACTCGCTCGGATCAGTCATTAGCCCACATGGTTTTTCATACCACTGCTTCGCTGACGACACCCAATTAATTCTGTATTTTTCCCCGTTCAGAAACCCAGATCGTCGCACACATCTCTGCTTGTCTAGCGGACATCTCTCAGTGGATGTCTGCTCCCCACCTCAAGCTCAACCTTGACAAGACTGAACTGCTTCTTCTTTCGGGGAAAGATTGTCCCACCCTTGACCTAACAATCAACATCGGCCCCTCTGTTGTTTCCCCGATTCAGACTGCAAGGAATCTGGGTGTGACCCTAGATGACAACCTGTCCTTCACTGCAAACATCGCTGCAACAACCCGCTGCTGCTCCACTTCAAGACACTGGTATTTGCAT